GTTTCTCAGGTCTCTCAGCGATTTTTGTTAATGCTTCCTTGGTTTAAAAAACTCTTTCAAAATTTTTTTTGGTGTTTGAAATAAAATTGAGCCTTGCACTGCAAACCAACATGTACATTCCACAGGCTTCCGCACTACACAAAAATAACTATATATAAGAAAAAAATTCCAAAAATTTCCATTCATTGCTTTTTCTACCTTTTTTTGCGACAGAATTTTATCCTCCTTATTTTTTCACAAAAATCATAATTAATTAACTTTCGGAGCAAAATTCAAGGGCTCCAGTCCTGTGTAAAGCACAATTTTCATATTTTTTTCGGCTGATTTTTTTGAACAAAATTTTTCGGTTTAATTTGAAAAAAATGTGAAAAAAATGTGGGACTAACATCAAGATTTCTCAGAACTTTAATTTATTTTTCCCGATGGGAGTTTTGTAGGTTACTGTAGAACTCTTTTTGTTTCGCGCATAAATTCGCTTTTTTTTCAGAAATGTTCATTGATCTTTTAGATACATATTTAATAGGATGTTTCGGACAAACCACGCATAAATCGACTCGAAAAGGATAATTTGAAGTTTTGTAACATTTTTTTGAAACGTATCTTATCTGTTGATTGTCCTGAATGTATATAGAAAATCACGTAATAATTACGTGTTTCAGAGATTTTGGATCAAAAGTTTTATTCACATAAAACTTCCGGGAAAATAATTTTTTTGAATATAATAATTCTACAGGACCTTCTCGAAAATTCGAACACCTTCTTTTTAGAAAAAAACGGGTGGTCCTTTTTGAAATGAAAATGAGGAAAAACGCTCAAACTTGTGAAAAATCAAACCGAGACGGGATCGGGAATTTTTCGAAGGCCTACCTCGAAAAATCGAGAAAAGAAATCAACTAGCTTGAAAGGATAACATATTTCCTGTTCTATGGAAAGTCCCATTTTGGAGTACAATTCACGCCTTCAATCTTTCAAAAAGGTCTATTTCAGAACTTTTTTTCTTATGAAAAAATTTTCTCTTTTTGGAAATGAAAGAGAAGAGAAAGAAGATTGCTGTGTGACCTTACTGTTACAAATCAAGTTTTTGGAACTGGAAAATCATAAAAAGTGTTACCGACTTGATGAGAACAGCACTGCCCTTATGGAAACCGCTCTTCGCCTCGAGACCTTTTTGAAACTTTTCCATGCTCCTTTAAAAACCTAGGATTTTAGAAGATCCCAACGATCTAGGGCAATAAATCCACATCGAGAAGAGTTTCGGAACGTTGGTTGGGTGGAAAAAAGAGCGAAAGGCTTATACACCCAGGGCCTCCTCAAGGGAGTCATCACGAATCGGCGCCAAGCCCTCCGCCGACGCCTTCCGAAGCCTCGGACTCGCCTTTTTTTTGGTTCTTTCCCTTCTGAAGAATAAGTGTGTGTGGCCTCCCACCACATATTAGCCTTTGATGGATGCGGTCATTTGGGGCCGTTTTGTAACCTCGAATCCCGAAAATGTTCTTTTTTCACACCCTTGGAACTTCATTTTTTGCTCCAGATTCCTATGGCAAGAAGTTTTCTTGAGCGGATTCGATCCTGTGACCTTTTTGATGGCAGTCGGCAGTGTTACCGATTGAGCCACTTAAAAAAAAAGCTGTAAGCCGTTTTTAACCGGCTCGAAGGTCCGAAAATGTCCTTTTTCACACCCTTGAAGCTTCATTTTTTAATCCAGATGCTTATGGCAAGAAGTTTTCTTGAGCGGATTCGATCCTGTGACCTTTTTGATGACAGTCTGAATTGTTGCCAATCGAACAATTTTTCTTCCTGTCCGATATTTTTTCATCACACCCATCTGACTTTGCTGGATGCTTTTTCCATTCTATTTTTCATGTACTTCAAGGTTTTTTCCCTTTTCCGTGACCAAATTCAACGATTAATTTTTTTTTTTCATATTTAACTTTGACAAAGAAAATATGACCCCAGAATCTTTGTTTTTGGCTGAAAATTTTCCATTTTTATTTGACTTTTTTGCCATTTTTCTATGGTGGAATCGAACCTGGGACTTCCTGATTGACGGTCTTGAGTTATTTTTCTTCGTTTATTTTTTTATAAAAATGTGTTTTAAAACTGATTTGATATCCCTTGACCTCTATGTCAAAAAAATCTGGTTTTTTTGCCATTTTTTGAAAGGAGCATTGAACCTGCGACCTCTAGAATGACAGTATAAGTTTTCCAAAAATGAGCTACCTTCATTTATGCCATTTTATTCGGGAGAGAACAACAAATATCATTATTTTTCTCGTGTGGGATTGATCCCGTGACCTTCTGGACGGTATTCTGAAGCTTTACCGGCTGAGCCATTGAACTTTTCAAGCTTTTTCTTGATACAATTGAACCTAAAACGTTTAATTTGAAATTTTCAATATCAAATCCCATTTTTTCTGAACCGGCGGCGCATGAGGGCAGTGGGCGTGGCTTATTGCAACTGTGGCGCGGTTTATTGCAATAGGGGCGCGGTATGAGAGCCGATTGTTGTGGATTTACTGGATGAGAAAATAATTTTGAACTATGTTTTCAGGCTTTTTTAAAGGAAATTGGATAGATTTCCTTGCCGAATTAATGTATTTGAATGAATCGAATGAAGTATCAATATTTTTGAAAAAAAAAAAGTTAGAACAAACTCGTTTTTCGTCATTTTCCGTGCGCATTCCCTTCTTTTGGAAAGCTGTAAAAAGCTTTTTTTTGAATGTTTAGTCATTTATGTACATATTTTCCCCTATTAACCTATATATCTACAACTTTTCTGATTCCTCCGAATTGAAACTATAACTCTTGAATGAAACGGCGGCGGCCCTCGAAATGGAGTAAAGACAAATGTCGTCCCGACGGAATACTTTTCGAGAATGCCAAAAATGGGCGATCCCTAACGTTCCTCCCCCTCATCCTACACACAACTTTATTTTTGTTTTCAACCCCGAAATTTCCAATTTTGCTTGGAAAAAACCGCTTTAATTGAGGTTTTTTAATGAAAAATGGAGGGGATCTTCTTTTTTTGAAAAGGGAATTTTATTGGGAGCTCAATTTTTGATTTCTGAATGAGACTATGATCATTAGAGGCAGTTTTTTTGACTAATTTTGAAAAATGTTCTCAGAAATTTTTCATAAAGACTTTGAAAAAGTTAGGGGCACTCAAATGTTGAAAAAAAATTAATTTTTTTCGAAAAAAATTTACAGTTCTTGTCCCTACGATAATGGAAAAAAAATTATTTTTTTCTCAAAAAGTTGATATCTCCTTTAATGGAAAACATCTATTGAATAATCTCGACCATTTTTTTAATTTTTTTATAAAATTCCGAAATTTTCCAACATTTTTCCTTTTTGATTTTTCTCTATTTTTTTAGCCCTTTTTCCCTTCTTGCTTTGAGGAATAATGACGTCATAAAGGTTCCGGAATGGCGTCATGATTATTCTGAAAAGAAAATATAAAGCCAGGATTTATTGCAATGATTTTTGTTGGTCCTTTTTTGGATACTTTTTGAAGGGAAATATTTTTTTTTCTCTGTAAAATTTTTTTGCGGTTTTTAAGACTTTCAACAGGAAATTTATTGTCTATTTAAAATTTTTTTTTTCTGAAAATTCGGTTTTTTTCGAGCCTTTTTTTCTAGTTCATATTCACTATGAGTTTGAGGAGTATATTTTGAAAAAAAATTAGTTTTTGAGTTTTTTTGTTTTTCTGAGCTTCTTGCTAGTTTATATACGCTAAAAAAATATAAGGAATATATTTTTTTAAAATATTTTTTTGGAAATTTAAGATTTCTTCAAAGTTTTCTTTTGGGTGTCCGGAAAATTATGGAAAGCCGGAAAATTTCATAATTTTTATACTTTTTTCCGAATTTTTCAAATTTTTCCATCAATTTTTTTGTATATTTTTCCTAGTTTTCTCGCTAAAATATGTCTTTCAAAAATTTATTTTTACCGAAAAAAATATTTTTTTCTTTTTATCGGAAAATTGTAAGAACAATCCCATATATATCCCGAAAAAAAAACAGAAACCAAAAACGTGGGAAAAGGGCGAACCGAATTTTTGATGGCGACACAGGTGTTGAATTACCTGTTTGCTGGGGCCAAATTTCCACCGCCACCCCAATTTTTAATTTTTTTATATCCTTGTCGTCTTTTTTTCCGAGTTTCAAGTTTTAGGAAGATGATTTTTCCTTTGTTCTATTGTTCTTTTCTGAAGAAAAAGTCCTAAAATTTGATTTCTATCGAGAAAACTGGTTGAATTTGGTAGAAATGTCAATTTTCAGGACCACTTTCTCTATTGTTTTTTCAGATATTTTTTTGTTCAATTTAATTTTTTTACAGAGAGATCAACGAAGCCCTGAAGAGACTCCAGAGAAGTTAGAATCTTTTTTTTTCTGGCGTCTCTTCAGGCCGTCGTTGATCTATCATAACCTTCACTTCTCTATCGTCTCTTCAGGTCGCCGTTGATCTTTATCTAATGGGTTATAATTATTTTTCGCTCTGAGTTTTTTTTTTCGTCCTTTTGACTAGAGCGAGAGATCAACGATGCACCGAAGAGACGTCAGAGAAGTTAGGATTCTGTTTTTCTCTGGCGTCTCTTCAAGCCGCCGTTGATCCTTCTCGTCCACGTCATACTTTAGTTTTTTTTTTTCCGGATAGATTTGAATTATATACACTCGACTAAAGCGAGAGATCAACGATGCACTGAAGAGACGCCAGAGAAATAAGATCTCTATTTTTCTTTGTCTCCTCTTCAGGCAGCCTCTATTCTCTTGTTTTTGAACTATTCAACTACGCAGATATGTTCGTAGCTAAAGCGAGAGATCGCCTATCCTGGAGAGACGCCAGAGAAATAAGATCTCTAGTTTTCTCTGCCGTCTCTTCAGGCTCCGAACGATCTTTCTTTGTCTCATTTTTCTCTGGTTATCTATCTATATTCTGCACTTTCAAATATCCATAGATAATCATTTAGAAAAGATTCAGATGCGTCCTCGGAAAGCACGATGACGGCGCACGGCGGGTACCAGCGCGTCGAGTCCGACCCAACCTTGTCCGATAGTCCGCGCGCCGCCCTTCTTCGTCATGATTACGGTAGCTTTTATTTATATGTGTTATTTATATGTGATTAATCATATCAGAGTGTTTTGAGATTCACAAGTTGATTGGTTATTTCGATTTCTGAATGAGACTATGTTCACTAGATGCAGTTTTTTTCCCGCTGATTCTGAATAATTGTTCGAAAATTGCTCATAAAGGCTGTGAAAAAAAGTTGGTGACTAACAAAAAAACCAAACTTTTTAAAGGATTCACAGATCTCTTACCTTACAAAAAAATTTCACCGATTTTTTTGGTTTTTTTGTTCATAAATCTCGTGAAACTTGAGCAAATGAGTTCATATTCTGGAAATGAGTTACTGTGAAGTTATTACAAATCTGTGTAAAGTTTCAAAGCAATTAGAGCAATTTCAGAGAAGTTATGGTCAGAAAACCATTTTTAAATACTTGGCTCAAAGTGACATGCCTTGTTGAATTTGAGCTGAGAAAATAGTTTGAGAAATTTTTTTTAAAAGGAAACGTTTCTGGCCGATTCTAGGGATCACTCAAGAGAGGTGAAGCTATTAAAGTGGTCACTAGAAATGCCCCGAAACTTCTGATTCAAAAAATGTCCGAGCTTATCCACTCAATTTGAGAACGGATCGTTCAAATAGCTCTTTGAAACAATTAAAATTTTCCAAGAAGTATTTCTCTTACCAGGGCTCTTACCAATCCTCTGTCACCACAGGGCTTTTTTTGAATGGAAGTATTCAGAGAACGACGCGGCGGCGTCGACGTACCACCACGACGAGCTCGACTGGGAGTACGACGAGTTGGAGCGTCATGAGCTGGAGGATCGTCTCGGCGAGATCCCCGACACTTTTCATCGGCGTCATCGAAGGGTCAGTACCTTTTTGATGTCAAATAGTCGATTCACAGCTAGCTTGAGCTTTTTCATGCTCTAAGAGGCATTTTCGGAAAAGTAAAAGTGTTTATTGCGCTCCAAAATAAAGCTTGGTTCCCGAAAATTTACATCGAAAGGCTAGTTTTTGAATTTTTGGACGATTTAAAGCTATTTTGGACTTTCCGGACAAGAAATGGACCTTGCTTAACGGCGAAAAACGCGCCTTTTGACGTGAATAAACTCTATAAAACTTTTAAATAAAGCGTCATTTTCTACCATACATTCAAGAAAATCAACAGATGAAATACGTTTCAAAACTGTCACAAAAACTTGACGCTACTCATTCGATTCAATCAACGCCTCCTATAAATCTTCAAAATATCTATAGCCCGTCGGCCGCGACTTGGCAGTTTTCGCATGTCTGCGTCTCTCTGTTCCCTCACCGGCGAGGTTAGAGAAACATGGAAAGAGCCCGTAAACATGAGAGAGACGTCGAGAGATAAGGAGGGCGCAGAGAAGTTCCGCTCTTTCAAGTCGCGTTAATGAACTATATAGCCCGTGCACGGCTGGCTTGGGACGGCGAACGGGAGGTTCAGTTCTGGTGGCAGAGGTAGATCACGGCGACTACCTATGCGCCCTTTATGAAATGTCCCATTTTATGATTTATTTTGTATTAGGTCGATTTGAAGAAAACCTGAAAACCGATTAAATAAATGCAAACAAAAACTGAATTAAATTGAAACAGAAGTAATTCGCTCATTAAAGGCGCATGTTGAGCCGCCATGATCTACTATCGTCGCGCAAGATAAACCGCCCGTTCGATGTCCCAAGCCAGTCGTAAACGGCTATAGCAAATCATTAAGAATCTAGAAAATAAAACGTAAGCGAATTTAGGCACGAAACAAAAATAATTCTACAGTTACCTACGAAATTCCCTTCGGGGAAAAAAAAAAAAATCTTGTGATTTGAATTATCTTTTTTCCCATTTTTTCTTGAAAATCTTCGATTAAAACCGGCAATTTTTTAAAAATCAACTGAACAATTAGAAAACTGCCCTTCATACAGAATTGGAGACCTTGAGCTTTACTCCGAAAATTAATCAATTATGATTTTTGATGAAAAAAATAGAGGAAAAAAAGACTTTTTTGCAAAAAAAGGTAGAAAAAGCAATGAATGAAAACCTTTGAACTTTTTTTCTTATAATCAATTATTTTTTTCCTGTGTAATGCGGAAGCCTGTGGAATGTGCATGTTGGTTTGCAGTGCAAGGCACAATTTCATTTCAAACACCAAAAAAAAGTTTTCACATGCATTGAAAGAGTTTTTTAAGCCAAGGAAGCATAAAAAAAAATCGTATAGAACCTGAAAAATGCATTAAAATGATAAAATCATCATTTTCAAAAATGGCAAAAGGATTCGCAGTCTGCAGGATTCGAACCTACGCGGGCAGAGCCCAATTGATTTCTAGTCAATCTCCTTAACCACTCGGACAAGACTGCTGGTGACAGCCGGGTGCCGCCATTGCGGCCATACACCCGCGTAGGAATTTCGCCTTGAGAACCGTGTAGAGAATGGATGAACAGAAAAAGGTGGGAAAAAAATTGGCTGTGTTGGGAATTAGCCGCGAAAAAATTAGCCGCGGGAAAAATAGCACTTTACTAGGATTAGAAAAATTTTTGATGAACTTATTTATAAAAAAATGGGTTCTGCAGAAATAAACGAATTATAAATCAGATCTGATCAAAAATGTGTCCTAAAAAAATAACGAATTTTTTTCAATAAAAAAATTCATTAATTTTCTATTTTTTTAAATGTATTCTTGAGTTAATATGGGTCTTTAATGTTTTGAAAAATTTTTGATTTCTATTTCTTCAATGTCCAACATTTTCTGTCGTTTTTGAGGAGAGTTTTCAAGAGTTTTGAGCTTATGGAAATGTTTTTCAATTTTTTTATCTCATGAAAAAACCATTCATCTTAAGTTTCGCCATGGAGCGCATTAGTTGGCCCTCAAAAAACTTTTTCGATATTTTTATTCTCTCGCTCCAAGTTTTATTATCCCCTCGAACTTTATATATTTATACTTTGCCAACAAAAAGGAATTCTCGCACTCTTTTCTTGGAACGATTGGAACTCAAAACCTTGGAGAATTGGATCTGACGCATCATCAAACGAAGAAAAGGAAATGCGCAACCAGCAAAAAGTGAGAAAAGTTGTCCGTCCGTCAAAAATTGAAAGCCTGTCCCCGCCTCTCTTGAAAAAGGTCCAAGCAGATGGAAAAAAGTCCCGAGCTTTTTCCTGAATGGAGTTCTTCAGCATTTCCAAGTTCTTTATTCTGCGACCTGTCAGGAAGATTTCCAACTGGAGGAGCCGGAATAGGGTATTTTCTGCTTTTTTTTTCGAAAGTTTTTTCAAAAAACTGAGAAAAGTATAGTTTTTCCAGTTGAGGGGAAGTTTCCAAGCTCTCCTTGGTAATATTTTTTTGAATGATGGGCTCAAAAAAAGGTTTTTTTAATCAGAAAATGATAAATTTCCCTTAAAAAAGGCTTTTTTCGTCTTTATTCATATAGGTTTCTTCATTAATTTACCTCATTTTAAAAATTGACAATGTTAAAAAACTCAATTTCCAGTTATTAGTTGTTATCAATGATAAAAGGATAATTCCCATAAATATTTTCATTTTTGAAGAACTTTAGATTCTTGTAAAGCATTTTTCTCTTCACCAGGAGTCTTAGACTGGAGAAATTTTAAAATTTATTTCTTCAGAACCCTTGGGAACTCCAGAGGGGTCCCTCCAGGGGTCAGAAGAGAAAACAACCACTGAAGGGGCCAAAAAAGGGGTCCCTATAGGGGTTTAGGGTCTGACTCCTTCGCCCCTAAACTCAAGTGGTCCCTACAGGGGTTAGGGGAGAAAACAACTCCAATAGAGGTCTTTCAATTTCATTTAAAAACGCTTATTTTTTCACTTTTTTCCATGGAAATGCTTCTTCGCTAGGAGTTCATAACAATTATCGACATTTCTATATAAATTAAAGCAAATAAAAAAATGTATCGACCTCGAAAAACTAGAAAAAAACTTTGAAAAATGATATTTTGCAACAAAAATTTCCTTGCAACAACTCAGACCTTGGTAACGCGAACGGGACGCGAATCGGACGTGTCGGGGCATTTCTAGTGACCACTTTAGTAGCCCCAGAACTCTTAAGGGATCCCTAGAATCGGCCAGAAACGTCCGGAGCACGTCCGTTTCGCGTTACCAATGTCCGAGAATTTTTTCTTTTCACTTTCTCTTTTCTCTGTGGAGCATGTTTGCACGGCGGCGAGTTTCAGGAAGCCCTATACGGCGAAGAAGTGACCCGGGCCGGCCTGGGACGACCCGAATACAGCGAATCCAATCAGCTTCTGCACGCCTGTGACAAGGTTCTTTCCATTCTTCTTTTCTCTGTTCTTTTTTCTTTTTTCTTTTTTTTCGGATTTTGAATGGGAATGGGTATGAGAATGGAATGCATTTTTTTAGATTTTTCAATTTAAAGTTTTTCAAGATTAAAAAAATTTCTTATAAAGGGTTTATTTCGTAAAACTGTTACTAACCAATTTTTTTCAGGCTTATAAGGAGCCCAAAAAAATTTACTCAGAGCTCACAAAATTAAAAAAAGAAAACCAATTTTTTTGGACTTCACTTTCATATAATTTATTCAGCTTCAATAATTTTTTTAGATAACTCAAAAAAATTATAAAGGATTTTTAGAGATTTTTTTCACAGTTTGTAAAGATTATTAAAAAGTTACAAGCCTAAAAAAAATCATAGGAATTAAAAATTTTTAATTAGCTTTTTAAGCTAGAAAGTTGAACTTCTTATTCAGACCATGAAGATTTTTTTGAAAATATGGTCTTACATTACTTTCTTGTTTCAAAAAGGGTTTTTTTGAATTATAAAGTTTTTCGAATTCGTTTTTTTACAAGAACCGTCAAATATTTGAAAAAAATATGCTTTGGAAAAAAATAATTATCCGTTATTCAACATTTTATCATTGAACTGATCTAACTTTTCATGTTTTAAAACTACTGGGAAAAATTTTAGCGGCCTCTATAGGTTTTTATAGTTTTAGTGGCCACTTAAGGGGTTAAAAGTTAGTAGCCGCTATAGAGCTCTACGTGGTACTACTACTACTACTACTACTAAAGTTGCCACTAATGAACATATAGTGGCCACTTTAGTGTCCTCTTCAAGTAACCTAAGGGAGCTTCTATAGTGGCCACTAGAGGTTTTCCCAGTAGCTCTAATTTTCTAGAAGTGAATAACTTTTTTTTTGATTCATAATTATTTATTGACAGATCAGCGTGAACCTTAAAGAGTTCACTTGGATATAATATTTAAGAGAATACATTATACAACTTTATATCATTTTTTCTGAGATTGTTCCAAGTAAAAAAAGTTTTAAATGAAAAAAATCATTAGAAAACTGACAAGATAAAAAAATAAAACCTTCAAAAAGAATGAATAAAGGATGGGTACAAAGCGGTGCCGACTTGCGAGGTGCTCGCGGAGCTCACTCATGAGCTCCAGCTCGTTGACGATGATGAGGTGAGTTGAGCATGAGAATCATCATGCTCGAGGAGTTTCGGCTTCAAGGATTTGTCTCAAAAATAAACATAAAAATGGAATTTTTTGATTTGAAGCAAGAATAATAGCGTCGTTTATTGCTCGGACTCTGGTAATGTTTCTGAGCAGTTCTAGGGATCACTTAAGAGCTCTGACTCTACTGAAGGGGTCACTAGAAATGCCTCGACAAGGCCGGTTCGCGTTACCAAGGTCCAAGTTCACTCAGCGAAACGGACATGTCGGAGTATTTTAGTGACAACTTTAGTAGCCTCAGAACTCTTAAGTGATCCCTAGAACTGCTCAGAAACGTCCGGTCCGCGTTTTCAAGGTCTAATTTCGGTCAATTTTTTTTTAAAATGATTTTTCGGTTAATAATAGAGCCTATTTGCTCTTTCATTGTCAGGAAGAGTTAATAGCCTTTTGCCAACTTTTTTTTAAATTTTTTTTTAAAAAAAATTTAAGGTTTATCGAGATTTTTTAAAAATTGTTTTTGAAGGCCTTTATGGGCTTTTTTCCTAATAATTTCAGGCCATTTTGAACATTATTATGAGTTTTTAGAGCATTTGACCCTTCCAAAACGATTTTTCAATTATTTTTGTATTAACAGGAGAGTTATCTTAGGTTTTTTTATATTTTTTTCAAATTTTTAAATGACTTCTGAAAAAAAAGGTTAATGCGTCAATGGGATTTCAGAATTTACTTGAGAAAAAAATTGGAGCTTCTAAACTTTTTTTAGATTATTTTTTTGAAAGGATTTTTGAAAAATTTAGTTCTTTACTTAAAAATTTTTATATCATGAGACTAGTTTGAGAAATTTTTAATTTTGAGTCAGTTTGAGCAAAAAGTTGAAAATTCGTGTCACAAAATCCTTGAAGCTGAAAATTCGCCCCCCAAGACACCCCTATCTATCCCTTGTTTGGTCTTGATATGAACATCACAGCATGAAATTCGTCCTCACCCTTTGAACAATTACTAACCCTCATTTATTCGACTATTATTAATATTTTGAATTTATTGATCAATGTGTAAATTTTGCTGAGTTCAATGATTTTTTGGCAATTCCAGAGCGGCCATGATGAAATGGAGCAGAGCGAGGAGACGAAAGACGAAGACGAGGAGGAGGAAACAACGGGGGCTAGAAAGGTAGGAATAATCGGGAAAATAGGAGAATACAAAGTTTGGGAGTATTTTTAATGAATAGAGCTTGATTTTTTGATCCTAGCAATATGAAATGTGCATGTTTTTTGAATTCCGAAGGCTTTTTCACGATTTTTTGAAAAGACATACCCGTTTTCTAAAGCAATAGCAGTGTGGTTTTGTTGATTTTATCGAAAAGAGCTTATTTTTTGATTCAAACCATGTTTTATCTAATATAAATACAGTTTTGAAAGTGCTGATCAACCATTTTTAGAATACGCGTTTTTATTTCTGTCTGAATGAGTTTCGAGAATTAGACGGAATAAACATATGACTTGAAACTTATTCGTCACTGGTTTGCCAACATCTCGTGATTTATTATTTTTCGATATTTCTCGACTTTTTCAAGATTATAACTTTCAGATAAGCTTTTATTTTTCTTTTTGTTAGAGTGTTTAGAGGATTTGGAAAAATTTTTCCGGCTTTGCGAAAAGAAAAAGAAAACATAATTAATAAATTTAAATTGCACAAAGGCGGATCGTGTGAAATTCGAGAAAAAAATGCAGAAATTCATGGTTAAAAAAAGGTATTTCAAATCGATTTCTTGAAATTTTTTTGTTCAAAGCGAACCTTTTTTTCCAGTGATATTCTTTTTTTAGTTGAAAAGTATAAAAAAATACCCATTTTCAGTACGCAAAACTGATCTTGCCTCATGTCGCCCCTCGTTCTGCTCACATGTGCATATACGGTACTTGGCGCGTCAATATTCTACAGTGTAGAACGGCCACACGAAATCCAAATGAAACAGCAACAGGTTTGAAAAGAGTAAAAGTACACGAAAATTCCAAAAATTTTGATGGGGAAACTGTGCGTCGCTTGCTAAAGGGATCGCGCCTTGCTTGCAAATCGGGCGTGGCTTCCACATTTTTCAGCCAAAAATTAAAGCGCCGGTAATTATCACCCATTATATGTGAACTCTTCGCAATAGGGCGCACTTGGTTTTACACATATTTCGAGGAAATGCGAATAATTTCTATCTCGCCTCGCTTTTTCTGAGGTTTTCATTTGTTTATATGATTTATAATCAAATTACAGGGTAGGAAATACTTACTGCGACGAAAGAAAACCGTCCGTGTAAAAGATTCCCAAAATCGAAAAAATTTTCAATGAGACCGTGTAGTCATCATCAGGGTTATACGGGAACCTCTCTGAATTGGAGCGCCAAATGGGCGCCACAACTCTTTCACTGACATACACTATTTCGTCGTTTTCTCGCAGCTAGATAACGACGAAATAGTGTGTGTCAGAGAAAGAGTTGTGGCGCCCATTTGGCGCTCCAATTCAGAGCTGCCCGTAAGCCTATAGCTCTTTGCCATTTTCTAAGCACGGTTTGACCCTAGAGAGGCCTCAAATAAAGAAGAACGGGCTCAAATTTTCTTCAAGTCGAATATCAAGCTTTTTTACAACTGAAGTCACATTCTTGCTTGTTCATTCACTCACAGTTCAACAGAAACTATGATTTAACAACATTTAGCAGTGAAATTTAGAAAAGTTTTCAAAGCCTGGCCTGGCCCAAGCCTGCTCAAACCTTTTCTCAAAAATGAGGACTCGCAAAAATCGCTCTGTCACCGCGCGAGTCTCGAATTTTGGAAGTTTTCAGTGCGTGATAAAAGCGAGAGGAGTGCGAGATAGCGCAGAGAAAACGCGAGAACCGCTCGAGAACATCGTTTTACTCTGATAATTTGATGGAACTTCGCTGATGTGCTCAGTGCTGACCATACTTCCTCAATAGCACGTGCCACAAAGCGTTTTTTTTTAAATTTCAAAGTTCATGAAGTGGATTTACCACCCTGTAATTTGATTATAAATCATAAAAACAAATAAAAACCGGCATGCAGGAAAGTGCGCTCGGTGCGCACGCTTTTCCAATGCGCACGTAAGGAAAGTGCGCACTCTTTTTTCAAATTTTGTACAGGAAAGTACGCTCTCTCTGCAGAGTCAGGAAAACGCGCACGTTTGATATTTTTACCTTCTGATAACATTAACATGAGTCTTTTTTTTCTCATTCAAGCAAAAAAAACTTTATTTTTCGATAGATAGACATTTGATAGATTCACCTAAAATTTTATATTTAAAAAACTGTTATCCGTTAATATTTGAAAACTCGTAAAATCAGTGAGCAAATATTCAAGTGAAACGACTTCGATGAGGCATCCTACTCATAAACTGCAAAAAAAAGTAAACATAACAAGCTGAGTAACTTATAAATGAAAAGAAAAGAAAATCATAAAAAGGTCAGAACTAGAACACAATTAAATATAGTGAGATTGATCAATTAGGAAGGATAAAGGTGAGATTTTCGAAAACCATTTGCCGATGCTCTTCTGTGATCAACGGAACTATCGCTGAGTCGATGCAAAATACGTTTCCTCCTGCACCGAGGTAAGGGTAACGTCGGAGTAGACATGACGTACGTGCATGGCAGTAACTGAAATCATAACTAACTTACACAGAGTTTTTTTTTAACTCACCGCGCCTGAGTGTTTTTCGTCCAATGATCAGCGCCATTCTTTTCAAAAAGTACCCGTTCTTGATGGCAAAGAATCAGATTTTGGGGGGCAGAAAGAACGAAGTCTACTTGACAGGATGCGCATTTCTTCGGTCTTCTTTTGCGACCATCGTTTAAAACAAACTCGAATTTTAGGGAGTTGTGATACGGCATCGTGAAATTCGTTTTGCAAGCTGTCTTGTCTATCTGTAACTTGAGTTTTAGCGTTTTATTTTGAGAAATTTTGAAAAAAAAAAACGTACCACTTCAAACGGTGGAAGATCCATTAGTTTTCCAGGGAGCGGCAAGGCGTTTTGAATATTGTGAATAGTACGATTGCAAACACGAGCTGTGGCTACGTTTCCTAAGCGTCGAGCTCGTTTCCCGTCCTTCTGACCGCAACTTGAAGTGCGATCGATAACCTGCTTTGTCGTTTTGAATCTTGCTGACTCGTATTCAATCTCAAAAATAGAAAAGTTTGAGTTTGAAAATTAAGAAAGTGGACAGAAACCTTTTGCACAAGTTGGTCTGTTGATTTTTGCGCCATGGCAATGGAAAGAACATGAGCGCAAAACCCCTTTTTAACATAAGGTGGACAATTGCAACAAATTGGTTCGCAGCTTGCTATCTTAATCGTTTCTTTTTTAAAGTCAAATAAGCCACCGGGAAGTACCACATAGCCGTGCAAAACGTCTTGGCAAGCGAAAAGCTTCCCGTCTGGAAGGGGAACAACTTTTTCGAACATTTTTTTCGCTTCGTTTTCGATTTGACTCAGCCAAGTTGAAGTATATCGGACCAATGTGAAGCGACCGAATGAAAGCTTAAAAAGTAAACTGGTTTTAACAAATAAAAGTAGGAAAACTTCCAAAGTTGTACAACGAGACGACGTTTCGGGTAACTCTCGTTGGAAAACCCCGACGTGCTTGAGCATTTTTTCTTTGTCACTTTCAGGCATTTTTTTCCACTCCGCCGCAGGGACGCTCAGAGTTGCTCGATAACTTGGTGAAAGTGTGTACTTGGTACCAGAACCAACGATCGATGCAGCGATGTTCGAAAGGTTTTCTTTAAAAAAAAAAATTAAAATTGTCTTTAAACCTTCAAAAGTTATTTGAAATTTACCGTCTACTATGCGCTTAAGCGCGGGCAGCAGCGATTCTAGCCCTTTCGTTCTCTCCTCTTTCAAATCATTAAACATGAGTCGATGGCTGTTTTCGACAAGGTTAGTGGTAGCACGACCTATCCCGATGAGACCGGCCACTCTCAGAGGAAGTTGGTATTTTCCGAACAAGTATTCGAGCTAAAACATTGTGTTTTCATATTTTTTTTATCCAAAAGCAAAAATAATTGTTATTTATGTTCTATCAAAAATTGCTAAATGATTGGTACCTTTTTGCTGAAGGTAGCGCATGAACTCCTCGGTGCAGCCCTGGTTTTTCAGGAACTGAAGCAGATGATCTCTTTTCAAGAGGAATTTCTCTCTTGTTAAGGAATCAAGAATACCTAAATCGACTGATTTCCTTTTCTGCATCTTTTGGCTAGAAAAAAAAGTTGAAGGAAAAAGGAAAATAACTTTATAGATAGTTTATTTTTTTTTATTTGAATAGTTTGAAAATAAAGGTCATAATTATTTGATTTTTTCCGTCTCTGTTCACGAAATTCTTACCCAAGCTTTTGAGTCGTCCTATTTTTTGTTGAATCTCCGAACCGAAAACGCGAAATAAAATTTCATGAAGTAGTTCATCATGGATTCCATTTCTCCTGGCCATGTCCTCGATGTTTCTTCTTGAATGAAGCTCACAAACTAAGTGAACTGTCGGTTCAGCGAAAATGCCATGCTGAATTTCGAAAATGGTGAATGAAGAAAAATAACTATTTTATTACTTGGAGCATAACTTCGAGGCCTTTTTCACTATCTGTCAGCAATGAGTACGCTTTGAGACCATCAAACCCAAGTTTCACTGAAAATTTAAAGTTAAATACGCATATATAGAAGGAGAACCAACTCAGCTCTCCGTTTAGTGAATCTGCGATCCACTTATAGGTGATAGAATCCTTTTTGGAGCTCACAAAAAAAGCACATATGATTGGAACGCCGAAATGAGGAGGGCGGTTTGACACGACCTTCTGATGACGAGTAACCAGCAGGCTTATATAAAAGCGGCCGAAAGAAAATGACATGTCGAATTCAAGATGAGATTTTTCTACTGGAAAAAATCTGATCAAAATTGGAAAAAAAAACCAGCAACCTTTCGGTATGATTTCGAAGTTGGCGTGAAGTTCGTCTTCAGTTAATCCGAGGGCTGCTAGCCTTGTTTTCTGTAGGCCGTCAACAACAATTTTTTTGTCAAGGGCATTTTGAGCGAGCATCAACAATTGGCTGTCTGATGCGCACATTATTTGAAGATGCTCACCGCCATCTTGGACAAGCCTAGAAAAAAATTTTACAAAATAAAACAACAGAATAAATAGCCACCTGACAAATTTCGGATTTTCAGCTCGAAATCGTTCTAACAAATCGAAGTCGGTGTAGGATTTTGCAGTAGACCCGTACTTTTTCCCGCCAATTTTCGCTCTGAAAAAAATTAGAGAATTTTTAGAAAAAAAGTTTCCCAACCGGTCGTAAACTTGAGTTGGGCGTAACGCAATGCGCTGGTCGCCTGAGCCTAGCAGTTTGTTCGAAGAGTCGGATATGATTTTCCTTGGTGCTTTTTCCTGGCGTTTTTGATCCACTTCACGCAATGAAGATGGAAACACACGTTGATACGAATGATTCGAAGTTGATAGGCTGTTACCGTGGCATTCTTTGTTAATACCTTGGAAATCTGAAACTTTTTTTAAAAAAAAATATAAAAACTCTTTTTCAGTCAAAGTTCAAAAGTTTGAAGTTATGAACGAGAAGAAAGAAAGAACCAACCTGGAGTTGTTTGATAGCTTATCAGTGAGAAACCGATTGGATCTCCATGCTGATTGAATGCACTCCAAATCACTCGCTTCAAAGACTTTTCCGGAACACAGCTCTGGTTCGTCGAGTAATACTTTTTTATTCGATAGACGAAGTTTTCTTTTGAGCCATTAGTCAATTCTTCATTGACATAGAAGCTTTTGGAATGGCTAGACTGTCCCTGACTGCTCCATTTTCCTAAAATAAAAACTTTAGAGCGCTATCAAGTCTTTTTTCGAAGCTAGTTTTACGCGCGCGGCGGAAAAAGTTTGTTTTTTTTTTTTTGCCGAGTTGCTAATAGTTTTCAAAAAGTTTCTGCAGCGTAGTTCGCTATGTTTTCTCGAACGCCGCACTAGTTCTTACGCCCTCACACTCTCGAAAGCTTGTCTTATGAAAAATTCTTTGGTTATGTGAGCAAAATATTTTTTTTAACTAACCATAAAGGTCTGTAGTGAGGTCTTTTGTCGTTTTATCATTGTGCTGAACGTAAAAGGATAAATGGAGATTGGGATTCAGAACAGATTCTGCTAGAAGCGGAATATCAATTTCATAGCTTGGTGGCGTTCTGAAAGAAAATACGCATTAATGGCTTGGTTTCCAGAGACTCACGTTTTTCCTATGATGTAACTTTTTGAAATCGACTTGTAATTGAAAAAAGATATATTCATGTAAGGGAAATTCATATTCTCTGAAAATAGAACATTAGAAAAGGGCAAAGTTTTCAGTCAACCTTCTTGGATCGCCATTTCAAAACAATTTTTTTCAGCACTTTTGGTGTTGTTATTAACTGAAAAATCTTATATATCAATATTAAACAGAAAATACACATACATTTGTCTTCAAAACCTGGTTCGTCCTCTTCCAAATTTATCATATCTACAAGCTTTTCTCGTAAAATACGAAATCAAAAAAAATCTGACCAAATGACGTCCCCAATCTTGTATCCATGTCCGTGTTCCCACTGATCATCGGATCAGTCTCACATACACTTAAATGATAATATACAATCGAATTTTCAGAATCAAAAAAAAATGTAACTGCAAAAAGATAAGCAATTTTTTTGTAATTTTTTTAAGGAAAAAAACTCACAGAAAAAAATTCTTATCACTCATTTTTCCATGGTTTTGCCTGAAAGTAAAAATCAAAAATTCAAAACGTTGATGGAATGAAAAAAAGCCTGCGAAATTTCAAAAGGCGACTTTTCCGATTTTTCGTGTCGCTAGGAAACTTTCCGACGGCCAGCTTTCCGCCGAATCCCTTTCCGACTTTTTTCCCTTAAATTTTCCGGTTCATAAAACATCTATCACCATTTTTTTTTCCTACTTCGTTGTGTTTTAATCATGAATAACTTGCCTACTTTATATAAGAAGATTGGAAACGAAGAGTTTATCGAGAAAAAAACACGAAAAAAAATTCGGTGGAAAGGTGGCCGTCGGAAAGTTCTCTAGCGATATGAAAAAATCGAAAAAGTTGCCGTTTGAATTTTCGCTTTTTTCATACCACCCAATTGTTACAAACTTCAGTGAAAAATTAAAGAAAAATTAGTTTCAAGCTCTTCCTGAAAAGAAAAAATTCAAAAAATATCAAACGTGCGCGTTTTCCTGACTCTGCAGAGAGAGCGTACTTTCCTGTACAAAATTTGAAAAAAGAGTGCGCACTTTCCTTACGTGCGCATTGGAAAAGAGTGCGCACCGGGCGCACTTTCCTGCATGCCATAAAAACCTCAGAAAAAGCGAGGCGAGATAGAAATTATTCGCATTTCCTCGAAATATGTGTAAAACCAAGTGCGCCCTATTGCGAAGTGTTCACATATAATGGGTGATAATTACCGGCGCTTCAAAAATTATCTTTTCACAACATTTTAATGTCTTTTTTTGGGTTTTTCATGGGTTTGTTATGTGATAATTTGCAGTTGAAGCAGATCTACAGACGACAGTCAGATTTTGTCGACAGTTTGTTGCGATTAGCGTCTGTTAATAACACACGTTAGTTTTTCGTACTTTGTATCATGTATTATTGTAACTGTTGGGAAAAAACGCTTTTTCAGCAACTTTTGAGTATTTTGAAGCTTTCTATCGGACGAAAGAAAATTTTTGAATAGGAGTACATGAAAAGATGAGGAATTTTTTTGAAGGATTTCATCCTTTTTAGAAAAAAATAATTTGTTTTTCATTTTTACCAGACTTCCTCTGTCCTAATTTATTTTTATGAATCTTTCTCATATCCAGACAGTTTTATTAAAGTTTTGAAACAGAAAAATGAAAAATTTTGATGTCCTTTAATTATAACTTTGCTTTCTTTATAACTAAATTCGTTAACTTTCAAAGAAACGAAAGTTAATCTGCTGTTCTTATATGTTTTCAGACTTGTTGTTTGGTTTATTGGTGCTCCTGAAAACAAGAATAATGTGCTTTGATCGTATATTAAACAGTTTTTCAGTAGTTTAGAAGGTAGCCAATTTTTTTCAATTTTTCAGTATGAACTTGATTATTTTTCTTGTTTTTTTGGATCATTTTGAAAAAGTTCCAGACCGAGAAACATGGGAGATCGTCGCGAGAGAA